CCCCCCCCCCCCCCCGCTCTGTGCGCGAGCGAGCGCTTGAAGCGAAGGCGGGAGACGAGCGAGAGGAGTTGAGAGCGAGCGCGCGCTCCACGCCACCCTCCTCTTCCAATCAGCGCCCGTGATGAGCAAAAAAAAAAAAAAAAAAAGAAGCCGCGCGTTTGCAGCCCGAGTCGGTCAAAAAGGGGTGGGGTTGTACCCATCCTTCCCCGGGGCGGTTGTGGCGCGGCTGAGGGAAAGAGGGAGGGGAGGACAGGGAACCAGGCGGGCGAGAAGGGCAGCGCGCGGGGGCCGGAGCCAGACGGGCGCTTCCCTGGGAAGCGGCGGCGGCGGCGGCGAGGACGGCGCCTGCTCGGCTCCCCTCCTGCTTTTGGAGGCGGCTGAGGCGCTGAGGGGAGTCCCGGGCGGGGCTTTCCGCCCCCGCCTTGTCTGAAGGAAGGGGACGACGGGACGTGTGGGTGGAGGGGGGGTCACAAAAAGGGGGTGGGGGTGGAAACAGATGGGGGGGCGTAATGGAGGGGGGGGCTTTTCCGGAGGCGGGGTTGCGGCGGCGATAGTGGGGAAGGCGCCGGCGGTGGTTTGAGGAGGGGAGGGGAACGGCTGCGGCCGGTGTCGGCCGCCATTTTACGCGCCGCCATTTTCTGGCCCGCTCTGAAGCCGGGGCCAGCCAAGGCGGCGGCGGCGGAGGAGGCGCCCTTAAACCCCTCTGCAGACCGCCGGGGAGGGGCCGAGCGGCGCCCGGGCTGAGGTAAAAAGCCATCCCATTCTTGGAAGAGGAGAAAAGAGTCGTCCGCCATTGAGGCCCGGAGTAGGCCTCGGGGCGCGGCCTGGGCCGGGGCCTAAGCGGCCTGGCGCCCTTCCCTCCCGCCGCCGCCTCGCTTTTCCGTCTCTCTGAGGAGCTTCTTTAGGATCCTCGCCTCGTCGCGACCGGCGGATGGGCCGCCCCCAATACCCCCCACCTCCTCACCTTCGCCGGGCGGGCTCGGACCCGAGCGGGGGTGGAGGCCGGAGGACACTCGGCCGCCTCGGCTGCCAGTTTTCGGGGCCTGGCATTCGAGGTCCGCCAGGTCCGAGGCCTGCACCAATCACAGGCTCGGGCTAGGAAACGGCAGGCGGGCGGGAGCGCGCGCGGCCTTCTCCTTCGCCCGCGCGCGCTCCCTCTTCCCCCCCCTCCCTTGTTTCCCCCCCTGCGCCGTCCTCGCGAACAGCCGGAACACGTCACCCAGGCGCGTCGTCCCCTGGGTTCCCTTTCTCCCCTCCCTCTTTCCCTTTGAGGGAGCATGCGCGCGGAGGCGAGTGAAGCTCGGCGTCGCCCGCATCTTTCCCTGAGTCGAAGGGAGGGGGAGGGGGGAGGAGAAAGGATAGCGGGCGAACAAAAGCCAGGAGCGAAAAACACCCGGCGGGAGGGGAAAAAAAGCGGGAGGGCGGCGCGCGACAAACAAACAAAACAACCAGCGGGCGACTCTACGGGTATCGTCTCACGTCGAGACCATCCCCGGAGGTGGGAGGGCAGATTTCAGAAATGCGCACCAAAAAAATGCAGTGTTGCAATGCTTTCCCGCTCGACTTCAATAAGAGTTAATATTTTTTTAAAAAAAATGAAGTGGCCGAAGTCCAACTTTGAAATTAACCTTTATCTTTTCCTAACCACCCCTGGTCTCATCGGATTCCTGTTATTCTTGCAATGAAACGTACAATTAAAGTACCAGTTTGGTTCTGAGCGTTAGTCTTGTTTCTCCCGGGCAACGCAAACAGGCATTTTCCTGGGTTTGAAAGAAGCATCAAACTCACCACCACCCTCAAATTCAAACGACCAACATTTGAAAAAGAAAAAAAGATTCACCCATTGAGCCACAAACAGCAAGATTTACCATCTTTTGTTAGATGCATTTCCAAGTTGCAAAGGGACTGGACTGCATTTTCTAACATTCCCACCATTAGATTTGGAAGTCTCAGGAAGGGTGAGAGAAAAATAAAAGTTTTGTTAGGAGCAAAGACCAAGACTCCTTGCTTCGGGCTTCTGTATCTTTAAAATGCTGTGCCCCTTTTGTCTTTCTGCATCCCAAACTTACAAAGAGCAGGGGGAATCACAAACACACTGCTAAAGTTTTTGACCCTGCTGCTAAAGAGAGAGAAGAGCAGAGAAAGGCAGACTGAGGGTTTCTTAAACCTTTTGTTCTTAGGGCCCTTTCCCGTTTTTAGACAAAACCTCCAAAAGAGCTTTTGTTTGTATGGGTTATAATCAATAGTTATCCTATCACAAATTAAAATGATACTGTAGGAGGTCCCCCCTCCCCTTTTCTTAATAGTCCAGGGCAGGTTAGCACTTAAGAGATAAAGAGCTTATTGAAAGAAGACAAGTAGATAGTTCTATTCATAAACAAATACCCTCATCCAAGAGCCATTCTTAACACTGGTACTATTCTTAACACTGGTACATCACAGGGTTGTGCGTTGAGTCCCTTACTCTATTACTCTTTACGTGCATAACTGCATTCCCACTCACACTAGTAATACTATTGCTAAATTTGCAGATGATATAACAGTGGCGGGACTCATCTGGGGAGGGGGGGAGGAGTCTGCCTACTGAGATGAGGTGGACCGGTTGCTTTCGTGGTGTGGAGACAATAAGTTGGTCCTCAACACCAATAAGACCAAGGAGCTTATAGTGAACAGATCACACATCCAGCCCTTGCTTATCAATGGAGACTGAGTGGAGCAAGTGGCCAGTTTTAAGTTTCTGGGTGTTACCCTAAAAGAGGACCTGATCTGGGGTGCCCACATTGCAGCCCTGGTCAAAAGGGCCCATTAGAGATTATACAACCTGAGACTTCTCAGAAAACAACTGAATGAAAAACTGTTGGTGACCTTCTCCCACTGCACCATAGAGAGCATCTTAACTTACTGCATATGGTTTGCCAATTGCACAGGGGCAGATAGGAAAGCACTCCAGAGGGTTAACGTCATTGCCCAGAAGATCCTTGGTTGCCCTCTCCCCTCTTTGGAAGAGCTTTATAGTTCCCGCTGCCTTAAGAAAGTTCAAAACATCCTCAAAGATCCATCGCATCCTGGAATCCTTTTTTAAATTATTACCATCTGGCAGATGGTACAGGATAATAAAAACAAGGACAAATAGGCTGAAAAACAGCTTCTATCCCAGGGCAGTAGCTCTGTTGAATTCTACTGTATAGTGCATGGTTGGTGTGGTGTCGGGGGTTTTCGGTTCAATGTGTGGAGGGTGAAGGATGTGCGTGTTTATTTTCATGGTCAAGGTCATGGTCATGATGTGCACTGAAGATGGTGTTTGAGGTGCAATGACAATAAAGTAAACTAAAAACAGGATGAAAGCCATTAACCCACAATAGGAATTGCATCATCCCCAGAGCAGTCTTCAAACTTCAACCAAACCATAGAGCTCAGACAAACACCTAGGATTTGCATTTCTTCTTGCCTATAGAGCCAGCTATGACCCCTACATGACCCCATACAAATCTGGCAATAGCCAATAGAATACATGTTCCTGTATAGGAATAGGAAGCTCAAATACAGGGCCCAAAGAAAACCCAATTCTTAACTCCATTTTTGTCAGCTGCCCAGAACCACAAACGCATGTGGTTCTGCTTTATCAATAAACCATCTTCACAATTAGCCTCCATGTTTCCAGTGTCTTTCTCCCAGCTTGGAACTGAACCAGGTGGATATTTCTCCCAACAATTCTCCACAAAGCACAACTGATGTTCTACTGTGGTAATGCAAAACAAAGCCCCTTTAAGATTAAGAATCTGGCGTCATCTTTAGGATACAAGTTGAAATGTGGGACTGCGAAATAAATACTGAGATATTGTGGGGTTATCATGTACCCCAACGTCAACTCTAAAAGGATGCAAAGGACCAGCTGTCAGCAAGGAATATAGATCCTTCCATTCCCTGCTATCCTGACAGAGCTGAAGAAGCTTCTTGGATGAGAAGCAAAATGTCTTCAAAGAAAAAACAAGAAAGTCCAGTTGCCTCCTGAAAAAAAAAAAGCACCTTTGGATCCACCTAAAAACTATTTTGAGGACTACAAATCTGAGGGATAAAGAATAAACAGACGAAAGTATTCAACTTATAGTTTATTATACCATAAGGCACTACTTAGTTTTCTGAAATTCCTTTTAGTTATATGTATACTGTGGACGAACATATCTAGTGGGCGGATTAGTACGGAGATAGTTCATTGGCTGGGAACTATTTTCCCCATAATCAGGAAGAGGAAATGATGTCTTAGGTTTCTGTAAAGGAAAATTAAGATTAAAAGTCATTTAAGGCAGTGTTTCTCTCAATGATGCAATCTTCAAGACAGGACACTTGACTTATTTCTCCCAATTGAAAAGTCCACAAAAGAAAGGAGAACTGAGAAAGAGAGCATGCCAACCATAGCTAGTTGAGTATGTTAAAGCAAAGTGGACCTATGTTATCCAGGCTACAAAACATCTGAACAATCACTAAGTGCCTTCAAAACTAATGATTTTATGCCATTTAGTAATTGTCTAGATTTTGCAGCTCAGAACTGATAAGCCTAAAATCTATGTAGAATGGATGTTTCCTGGACACTGGCGTTAGAATAGTCTCTGAAAATTTGACCTTTAGAGCCTAAATAAAATAGCTTTTTGAACTAGTCAGGTCTCACTCATTACAATCAAGTAATATCTTGATCATGGGAACACTGCTTCCAGGTGCAAATGCTATTTTAACAATACTACTTTATCCTCAGTTCCTGCTCCGTTTTGAATTTATAGCAACAAGAAACACAGTCAACACCATAATTAAATTTTTAGATCACTAGAATGTGCCATAACTGATAAATACACAAACAAAAGCCCAATAAGCTCGGTATGACCCTACTTCTTTTAGAGTGATGGTGGGTCTTAAGAAAGGAAAGGTTGAAATCATCTGATTCATTAAATGGTGGGATTTTAGTTGGGACATGCAACATTGACTTCTAGAAGGCATGATATAACAGAACATGGGTATCTCTCTCTCTTCTGAGAGCTTAAAGAAAAATGGATTGTCGGTTCTATTTTGGTAGCCAGGAAGGACAAGCAGAACCTCAAGCAGCTTGGATGGATGGATGGATGGATAGATACACGAAGTCCATTTGTGTCCTTTTCAATGTAAATATTGGATACAATTCTCTTAAATCAAATAACCCATACTTTTGGGCTGTTCATGGGAACTGTCCCATTTAACTATAAGCAATGCTTTGGCTTATTCTAGTAGTTGATAGCAACCTTGTCCAACCCAGGTGAAATTTGACACAAGTCAATCATGCTAGAGTTGGCTCCATGACTTATATGATTTTTGGCAACCTCATCCAGGTCACCTAGTTTGAACTGGGAAGTCAGATAAACATTGTACATAAACAAACAAATCTCACGTTCTTGCCTGAATCCTTATAAGATTCTGGTTATTATTTTTTATTATTACTAATGATTGTAACTTCAATTTTTAATCCAGGTCACCTAGTTTGAACTGGGAAATCATATAAACATTCTAAATAAACAAATAAACCCCATGTTCTTGCCTGGATTCTTATAAGATTCTGGTTATTATCTTTTATTATTACTAATGATTGTAGCCTCCTTCCATAGGGTGCTCATGGATGCCATGCAAAAGCCATTAAATTTTGCTCCTTTTATGTTGTAGTTTTAGAAACACTACCTCTTTAGTTCAGTCTGTCTGATTGTCTTACTTTTTCTTACTTGATGATTTAAGTTAGGAGTATCGATTAAATACCGGTGTCTACTGAGGACTGTCTGAAAAATTGGAGGTGTCTAGACAAGATCTTGTGGTAGCAACAGGATCCAGAAAACCATGGGAAAAATTCTATTTGCACAACGATGCAAATTATTTCCTTCCCACAAAAGCTCTACATCAACGTGTCTCTCAAAGCTACTGATGGATTCTAGGAAACTATGACAAGTTTGAAGCAGAAATCAATGGAAACTGAAGTCAATTTCTTCATACAAGCAAAGGTGGCATCCACTGACATCCAGAACACTGTAAAATGCCATTTTTGTGCATAACTAAAATTTGGACATACCGGAAGCTGCCTCATAGGCAGATCTTCAAATGAGATTTCTTGATCATAATCTGCACTTGGGATG